TGCAAGCCTCCTAAGCCTTGGTAAAGTGGGACTTCTTGCCTCCTAGCACAACGTTTGAGATAGTCTTCACAAATGTAGACCATCTCGGATAGATGCCATCAGCTAGATAGCACCCCTTGTTGTAGTGCCACCCATTGACCTCGAAGTTCATCGAAGGAGAATGACCTTCAACAAGCTTGGCAAAGACAGGGGAGCACTGCAGCATGTTGATGTCATTGTGAGTTCCTGGCATACCAAAGAAGGAGTGCCAAATCCAGAGGTCCTGTGTGGCCACCGCCTCAAGTACCACACTACAACCGCCATTGGCGCCTTTTGTACATCCCCTGCCAAGCAAATGGGCAGTTCTTCCATTTCCAATGCATGCAGTCGATGCTTTCAAGCATCACATGAAATCCTCTTGCTGCATTCTGTGCTAGGATCCGAGCAGTGTCTTCCGCATTGGGTGTTCGCAAGTATTGCGGTTCAAACACTACCACCACTGCCCTGCAAAACTTGTAGAAACACTCAATGTTCGTGGACTCGGCCATGCGCCCACTCGTCGAGTGAATCACCGGGAGCTCTCTATGCAAGCATCCTCATCACTGTCGTGCACTTCTGGATTGAGGTGAATCCAATTTTTCAGGTGCAATCCTTCTTGCACTTAAAGTAGCTGTCGAACTCCCAGATGAAATTCACAATCCAGAGGAAAAGCTTTCGGCTCATCCGATAACGGCGCCGAAATACTTTGTCGCCGTGCAGTGGAGCGTCGGCGAAGTAGTCAGAGTAGAGCATGCAGTAGCCTTCAGACGATGCCGGTTCTTTGCTTTCATCCGCCCCGGCGCCGAGCCACCTCGCCGCGGATTTTCATTGCTCGCGAGCAGGCCGGCAAGGGCGGCAAGGACCATGAGATGTTCCTCTTCCTGGACGTCGGCATCGGCTTCCTCCTCGAGCAGCGTGGTGAGCGCCTCCTCGTCGTCCGAGTCCATTCGCCGAGCAGGCAAATCGCCGAACACCTTGCGGGCATGGTGGGCACACACCCGCCGATACACCGGCCCTGTGCGGCCGAAACGCCGGAAAAATCACCCGGACGATGGTGGAGAGGATGCCGCGGCGAAGCCTTCTCTCTTTACCGGCAGGGAATGGCCTATCTAGCGGTGGTGGGCGAAGGTTGCCGCTGATATCGGCAGGGTGGTGGCTGAACGCATGGGGGGTGGGAGGTGAATCTGGACGGTTGTCTTGACTTTTCACCTGACCGTGTGGCCCAGACGCGTTTTTCCCTTCCGCCAAAGCCTCCGAGCGCCGCCCAGTGCGCCGGGTTCGGCCTGCAATCGCCGAGCCCAAAAACAAATCGACCCGACGGATTTCGGCATCTTGAGAACGCAACTGGAACATTTTATTGGCGCCAGCGCGTAAAAAGGCGCCTGGGGGTGTGTTGGGGGCGCTGCTGGAGTTGCTCTCTTATATAGGTGCGTAGAGGTTAAGGTTGGGCCGTCATATTGCTGTGGAATTTGCATTTCCTTTCTTCTTACATGAAGCGAATTAGCTCATTTGTTTTTGGAAAGCAAAGCAGGTTGCCGCGAGGAAAGTGCGACCAACGCCACACCCGTCTGCGTCTCTCACTATCTTTTCTTCCACTTTTTCCCGCCCTACTTTTTCTCCCACCTTTTCCCGCCCCCTCTCCATCGCTGCGCGCCAGCCTCGGAGGCTGGATGGTTTCTTCGCCAACGATCGTCGTACACGCACACTGAGCGGGCGAGAGCACGATCATGGTGCGCAGTCTTGAAACCATACAAAAATAGTGCGTGGCCAACACCTAGGACGAAGTGGCCTGCATGTGCATCAGGTCCGAGCTGGCTCAGGTTCAGGTGCTAACGACTCGTTAAAGGATAGCCGGTACGCCGCCCAGCAAGATTGACTGACGCTGTGGTGTGGCACGTCCGCCGGACATTCTTCCTCTTCCCTCGCTACACTATCGAAAATAGCACGGGCAAATGAGTCATGTAGAGCCGTACTGCACTTCCCAACGACGAGCTTCCGTCGCATAGCTCTTGCTGTTCCGCTGTGGTTACTGTTAAGTTTTCGTATTTTTGCGGATGTTTGCCGAGAACGTCGTCTATATATATTTGTATGTCGTCGAAAAGTTACGGACATGCAAATATTTGCATGCTTGCGAGAACTTATACGTTGCCGGGAAAGAGAAGCTAGGTTATATTCCAGTTTAGAGAGAATCCGCTGCTACCGGCCAATACGAGAGCGCATTTTCGTGTGGCGGTGAAAAACCAGCGAGATGATCCATACCAGCAGCTAGCAAACTCAATAAAGATATTCACTCAGTGATGTCCCCAAGATAGGCACTCCCACAAAGACAATACCAATCATGATCTTACATCTCTCTTCTGCAGTACTATTTTTACTTTATTTTACTTGCGTCAGTACTACATAGGATATCTGGTGGAAACCGATGTGGCCATCTCGGTACCCAGCACCGACGGAAACCACGATAATATACTCTCCCGGCCCTTCTTTATCGCAACAAAGCACCGCCCATGCACGGCATCACTTAGTTTTAGTTAGCACTCCTACTTAATTTACAACACGAATTGTATATTTGAAGATTACCACATGATGCAGCAGAGGCATTTGCAGCTGGGGCAAAAAGAACAACGATGCTAAGATCCTGGCGATCTCGATGAAAGGTACCTTATTTTTTCTTAGCCATTCGGCCTCTAAGGGCCTCTTTGATTCGCAGGATTGTAAAAACATGGGAATATGAAAAATATAGGATTGAAATGTCATGCTCATCTCAATCCTATAGGAGTTTAGCTTGTTTGATTGCATCATAGGAAAAATGAAGGATTATTTCAAAGAGGTTTGAGTGGATGCTAGAAATCCTATGGGAAGTAGTACAAAAAATTCCTTAGGAAAAAATCCTATAGGATTCAATCCTATGAATCAAACAAGCAATATAGGAAAAATTCCTAAAGATTCTAATCCTCCAAAATTCCTATGCAAATCCTTTGAATCAAAGGAACCCTACATACGAGTACAATAATCACTGTGCTACTCCAGTGGACTTTGCAATCATAGCTATACAGTTGAGGTCCAGGCATGCATACTCCTACTCCACCTTCGACCAACAATTGTAGATACCACTAACTGCTGTTAAATCTACAAAAAAAAGGTCAATGAAAAAGATTCTTTTGGTATAAAAAACCACCTACCGAGCGCAATTCACAGAAAGGACCACTTACGAGTGGTATTGCCAAAACTACCGTAACATCAAGTCCGGCAACCGACACATGGCACCTGCCGTAACAAGCACATGCGGCAGGACCTACCGCCACACCCAAAGGTGGCAGCCCGTGTGTAACAGGAAACTAGGCAAGGCCAACGCTTGGAAAGGAACGGCGTGGGGCTGGTTGGCCCTGCTGCTACAGGGGTGGCTGCAGCCCCCTTTCCTGCTACTCGCGACGCGACAACACCAGCAGCTCTCAGTTTTTTTTTTGAAAGATCCAGCTTGGCTGGCATTGATTGATTTACAAGGGAGCATATGGAATACAAGGTTTGATCAAGCGATCAGAGGGAAAAGAAGGAAAGAGATACAATCAAAGGGCAGACCTTTGGCCTGCAGCTCCCAGTAAAGAAAACCGTAAGCTATTATCTCACACCCAAATCCCCAAAGGGGGGCTCGATTGACTTTGCTCCGGCAAGCCGCCAGTGGTCCATCATGCGTCGAATGGCGTCGATGACGTCCTTTACCACCGCTATCTTCGACCTGAAGGTGCAATTATTTCTTTCCATCCAGTTGTTGGTGGGCTTTATCGTTTTGTGACAATAGTCTCTCCCCGCATCGTTTTATGTAGGGTGCCTCTCTCGTACCAGAACACTCGCCAGCATTCTCTCGTTTCGCTCTATCTACTATGTTATTCTCTGTGTGTTAGCATATGTGATAGTGTGAAATAGTCTTTTTGACTACGGTTTTGATCAATTTGAATGCCGATTGAGAAGATGTTGCAGTTGAGGAAAAGATAGATCATGGTAAGATCTATCAATTTTGGTTGGTTTCGTTCGCATGCATGCTTTTGTTTTGTTTGAATACCTTCTGAGTATGTATTCTCTGTTGTTTTACCATATGTGAAAGTGTGAAACGTAGCCACTTTGACCGTGATTTTGATCAATTGGAAGGATGACTCAGAAGATGTTGTAGTTGAAGAAAAGATAGATCAAGGTAAGATCTATGCATTTTGGTTGGTTTCATTTGCAATCATGCTATTTTTGCTCTGTTTGATTAGCTCCTCAGTTTTTCTCTCTACTGGTTTAGGCATTATTTGATCACTTTGTGTAGTCATTTGGAGCTTCTGTGTAGGATTTGCGGTGCGAAGTGAATCAGGAAGTCGAAGATCAAGTGGGTACATGCATGTATGCATGGACATTTTCTTGTTAGGATTTTCGTTTTGACCAAAAGATCGTCGCTACCGCGCGGTCACCCTTCTTGCGGGCGAGGCTAACTAGCTGAGTATTCACGTGATAATGCTAAATAATACTAGAGAGGTAGTGGCTCCAAAAATATACTACTCCAAAGAGCTCTTTTGAGAACCGTAAAAAATCTTACTCTAAAAGCACAGTCCAGGCACAAACCACGACTTTAAAAAGGTACCAATAGATTGAACTAATCTGCTGTGAGAACAGCAAATACAACAAGGTAATGATGCAGATCAGAGATCAGAATCTTGTTTTTCAAGTGCTCAATTCATTTATTTCCCTGGTGGTCACATCTCACATGACCACAATACTATCTAGACGCACGCCTAGAACGGACAAATACAGCGGCTGATGATTCCACGAAGATCACGTTATCTCTTTATTCTTGAGACGCACCGGCTCATGATTCTGAAGAAAACTATGTACAAGACAACCACCCAGCAATGTATGAACTCCATCGTAACCTGACAACTTCGCAAAATCCATGCGTCTGAATGAATCACAAAAGCATATCCCCTTATAGTAATTCCTAGCTTGGGCTACACCGGTGGCAGCAGCATGGGTTCACCCGGTGGTGCTGGGTTGATTCTGCAGCCAAAAGAAGAAAAAAAAAAGGCAGTTTTAGCCACAGTTACCTACGAATGAAAAGAACTCGTACCATGCAGGACAGGAGCACCGTGTGTGGCGGACGAGCAGCGTCAGGCATCGTGGCGGTGCTGAAGAACGTGTAACATGGCCATGCATGAAGGACGAGGGGCCTGCGAGGACTCCACAGCATGGAAGACAAGTCAGGATGGCACTTCATACCTGCCCTGCTCAAAGAAGGCCGAGAAGGCACCGATCCCGGTGGCCGCCGCGATGAACCAAACGAGCAGCGCCACGGGGAGGGTGAGCCCGGCCGCGCCCATGACCATGTAGGAGAAGGCGAAGGTGAGCATGGTGGTGAGAATCCACACGGATGCCTTGAGCCGGTTCCTCCGGGTGGAGCCGAGGGTGGCCCTCTTGTAGAGCCAGAGGCTGAAGAAGAGTAGAAGCAGGTCCGCGTAGGAGGTAGCGACGAAGGCGACCATCGCCGCGTCGCCCTGGGAGTGGTACACTGCCATGACTGAGTTGAAGGTGATCAAAACGAACATCACGGCGACGAACACCCAGGAGAAGCCGCCGCCGGCGGTGCCGGCCGCTTCACGTGGCTGCTGCATATCTTGGCTAGTTGGCTTCCTTGGAAAACAGTGCTACTACAATTGCCTGAGGCCTGAGCTTAGCAGAGGCGAGGGAGATGTAGATATTTTGGTGCGAGAAGAGAAGGGGCTCCATCGGCAGGTATATATGGGCACGCTCGCAGCAACCATGAATCTCCCGTCAGCTTTGGTCTTCCCTACCAAATGCAAGCGGACAGGGACAGCTTAACACCCGTCTGCGTCACTGCCCCACGCCTTTCCGTACCAAACGCAACGGTTTCTTCCCCAAAATTCGTCCTACACGTAGGCGACGCACTGAGCAACGAGAGGTACGCTGCCGACGATCGTCCAAATAAGAGACGATGCACTTCCTTTTCTTTGGAGGACAGTTAAGACAAAATGCAGTAGAGCAAAAGGAAAAACAGTACTACGTAATTCTATAGGGCGAACGTTTGTCAGGTTTTCTTCCAGCACGACACCATATGCATCGTCAAATTTGCGCTGTACTAGTGGATGCATACTTCTTTTTATTTACTATTAATCCGTGATGAATGGATTCTGACGAAGCGCAAATCGCCGCGCAGAACCTGCAGATAACACCAGCCGCACACAAAATCTGGTGAGTCACTCAACACTGGCATGCTCAGACCCGACGGTTGAGCGATCGACGTCTCTTTTCCCCTCGGACCGATCGTGCGTGACATCAACCGGAACTAACCACCTTCTCCTTTTGTTTTTCACTCACTGACAAGACAAAGTATAAGGCGAGCAGCAGCTAGGAAAGCGAGTCGGCGGCGGGATTAGCTGGAACCGCCTTTCTAATGGAGCAGTACGAACTCAAAATAGTACTCTACTCCACCAAACTTTAGTGGGGATTATTAGTTATCTTCTCCGGGGGAAGCAAATGTAATGGAGTGTGAATCCTTTGGATGACGCAAACCCTGTCGGTGCCGCAAACTTTAGTGGGGATTATTACTAATACATTCAATAAACAGATTAGTGTATTCCCTTCAAA